GAAGAATCCTTGCCTTTACCCTCCCTCTAGGAAACCAGGAATATAAAAAAGCTGACTTACACCAGACCAGTTGGTTCACCTAGTTCAGAACTGTCTACTCTGGCTGGCAGTGATGCTCCTAAGTTAAAGGCAGCCGTCTTTCTCAGCCCTACACTGCGGTCTCATGGATAACACAGCAGTTGATGTCATACTTCACCAATATTATAAGCCCAGCCACAGCAGAAGGTGATTGAGCACTATGATACGAGGTTGTCACCTCATGCATTTCTTGAACAGTAATTGTTCAGGGACAACATCACAAAGGGAAGAAAAGTCAAGGCTGCTATGAAGCCAGCCATGTGCTGGCTTCAAAACTTTGCCAATCTGTCTCTGAAGAAGAAAAATATATGTGGGGAGAAACGTTAACAATATCACCCATTCAATGGTTCTGTCAGCAGTTAAAAGTGATGAGGATCATGAGGTTCACACCCTGCCAACACAGGACAGCAAACCTGTATCCAGTTTGCCTGTGTTGCTACATAAACACAATGTCTATTTTCCTTACTGGATGTCACACAGAGAGAAAGGAAAACTGGATGCCAGGCTGCTGTTTTCCGTAGCAGCCCAATGGTCCAACATGACTTTCCCTTCCAAGAATGACAGGCATTGTAAGCTTGCAAGACAGCAGTACCTTTCCATCTGCTTGGCATGTGGACCATCTAATTCTGTATTTTCTCTTCTTCTTAAGACTGCCTAACAAATTCACAAAGGAATCCCATCTGCAGCAGAGAGCCAGACACATTGACTGGTTTCCAACAGCCTGTGTTATTGCTCGTTGTTCCTTTAAGCAAAGTAACCACAGATAATATCACGCCTGATGAGAAACAATGAAAAGCAAATAAAATTGGCATGTTGGAACATGTGCAAACTTGACATTAATTCCAGCGACAGGCTCCAGTCCCTTCAAGACCTTCATGGTGGGCAAATCTTTATATTTGTAACTACGTACTACTGTTCAGCATACAAATACCTTTAGCATTTTAACCCATTCAGTTTTACAATAGGACTGTGAGCTAAAATAGATTGATCACTCACATATACAAAAACTGACTTATTCAAGGCTTCCCAGCAAAGATTTGGTTGAGCTGGAATGATTTCCTTAAGCATGTTGTTCCCAGATAGACACATCTTAGTCTGCCATGTCACATCTAATCATATGGTTGCCATCTACCCCAATGGGAGACCCTCTGAGGACCCCATTTAAGGCAGGTCTTTTGTCTAGTGATCCAATTTAGATTTATGGGGTGTGGTAGGCAGGTCAGCATTTTCACCCCTCATTCTGTTTGTGGATGGGAACAAAAGTTGCATACTTCAAGATTGGTGCATGGCCAGACCAACTAGAAGTCACAAAGCACTTTTTCACAAAGTGTGAAGGAGATATTAAATAGCTCTGTCTGCCCTTGGTACTATTTAATCAGGACTTTGAGAGAGAGAAAAGAAATTGCACTCCAGTACCTGGTTGGCCTCACAGACCCTGACATATGCCACTGAATGAGTTTGTTGGGTGTGTATAATCATAAATCAGAAGCCATGCAAAGGACTATCAGGCAGTGTTGTGGATACAAAGGCATCGTGCAAAGTCACAGGAAAAAATATTTTAGCTGTTACTTAGAACTAAGGCTGTCACCTGATAAAAGATCTTAAGTTGATGAATCATATGAATATTAATGGAGTGAATTGTCATAAGTCTGCATATGAATAAAGTAGTTATGGAGAAAAAAGCACACAGGTTTTAAGGATGTTCTGGCCTAACATCCTAATGTTTCTTAGATCATTAAAAACCCATTGTGCATGTGTGCTTAACTGTTTTATTTCTTTTTCAGGCATGCAATGATTTTGATAAAGGAAAACATTGCAACAATCACAATCAGCTACAGCATTTGCTTAAACTAGAAAAAAACAAAAACAAGATCAACCTGCCCTAAAATGACACCCCTTTTCATCTGAAAATTTCATAGAGAAAGGAGAACACAGAGCAGGCCTAGGACATTTACAAAAGACCAGGTGCATGGAGGGGCATCGTTTTCTACTTGTCTTCCTTTCCTTAAGCTGGTGCCACTTTTAGCCAGCAAAACAAATCCAACACAGGTTCCTCCCTTGTGTGCTAAATGAGGATTTGAATGGGGTGGGGAGATGAGCCACATGTAAGGGAATGGCATGCTAAGGACTTGACTGGGTGTGAGGAGAGAAAAATCATAGCTCAGTGGTACAGTTTATTCTTTGCATGTAAAATGCCGCAGGTTCAATCTGTAGCTTCTCCAGGTGAAAAGGGAACAGGTAGCAGATCATGGGAAAGTCTCTGGGCTGAACAGACTAGTTATCTGACCTGGTTTAAAGGCAGCTTCCTATGGCCTTATGAATTGGTGACACTTAAGGTGTTGGGTTAACCCTGTTTAGGGAAGCTTTTAATATCTGAAGGACTATTGTATTTTAATATTTTGTTGGAAGCTGCCCAGAGTGGCTGGGGAAGCCCAGCCAGATGGATAGGATATAAATAAATTATTATTATTATTATTCTATAACCAGATGAATTGGTTAATCTGGCCCATCAAACCAACTTAAGGCTGTAGCCCTAGTTAGAACAAGACACACTTGAAACCCCATTCTAATCTTGGGGCTGGCAAGGGGGTGGGGATGGAGGAAGAGAAAAGAGAAAGGAAAAGAAAAGAAAACATAATTTTCACATGGCAAGAGAACTTAGGAATGTCACAAACAGTCCTTCAAGATTGGTTTCGCTGCCATCAAAAAGTTTTTTTTAAAAAAAAACCCTCAGGTCAAATTATTAGCTTCCTAGGTTCTATATTCAATTTATTTTAGATTGCCTATAAAAGGTGTGTTGTAGGAAAGAAGGCAAATCTTGTGTACACATGCATACTAATAGGCTAAGATGCATCTTGGCAATGATTTTTTAAAAACCAACAAAAGCATCATCTCACCCTCCCCAATCTGTTACATACACTCTTTTGAACACTCCATAAAGAACTGTGATGGGAATGCAATCTCTCTTCAAGGTGGCCCCCAGACAACTTCCCAAACTGTAGCATTATCACTCAGTGGGTAGCTTCTGAGGCTAAGTGCTCCAGCTATAGCTACATCTAAACACTATGCAGGATCAAAACAAGGAAAACAAAGGAAAAGACCGCAATAAAGCTAAAAATACTCTTCTCTCCCATTAATGCCTAAGAACAAACCCACAGCAAATCAGGTACCTAAGCATCCAGTAGGATCATAAACAGAAATTAAGGTGCTTCTAAAGAGAAGTGCAGCATTACTACACATGGGTTGGGGGTGATTTCAGATGCTAACTATGGCCCACCCTGCTGCATTCATCTCCAAGTGTTCTTGATGTGTAGAGCAGGGTCAAAACCCTTAGCCTTCCCATGAACCACATTTTGCTTTGCGGTATATTTAATATGCACAGCTGCTTTCCATAAACCCAATATAAAGAGCCACCCTATTGGCTGGGAAGGAGGAAACGGAGGCTGCCCTCTGCTCCCTTGATACAGTCAAAGTTCACATTTCATGGAGCAAAGCTGCTGTCCAAGGTACCTAAAAATAACAACTCTGTTGTAATTAGACGGATCCCGGAATGTCTTGTGCCTCCTGCAAGCTTTTCTTTCCCATAAGCCAGGCAAGCAAGTGGGTTTTATTGTGAAAACACAGACAGGGGTGGTGGTCAGACAAGGAGAGTCTCAGAAGCTGACAAGACTTTACAATCAGCTACCTGCCGAAGGCTTAATTTTAGACATTGAAGGTGTAACCCTGAATTGACTGAAGATAAGGGTGAAGCCCTGGGGTGGGAAGGGGCGGATACACTGTGAGGTTACCAATTTTAAAAATGCTGGGGCTCACAAATGTATGCAAGAGTGTAAACGATTCTTGCTAAAAGATGGCAAATACTTTGATGACATATTTTTAACCATTTCTCTCCATATTTACAGACAATGGAGATGGCTAGCAAGTCAGCTCCCTTCAGGACGGAGGCAGAAGCATACATCCAGCACACCCAAGACCAGTGGTCTGGGAGAACTCCACCAGAGAGTCCAAAAGGTCGCTGTAGTCAATGGGGAGACTGTGGCATCTCAGAACCGAGAGCGGCCGTACGGGGAAAGCAGCGGAAATAAGAAACGGACCAGCGCAACAAGAAACTGACTCGCACAATTACAACGACAAGCTTGCAGCACAATCCGATGCATGTTTACTCAGCAGCTCAACGGGGCTTACTCCGGAGCTCGGCGTGCGCAGAGGATTGCAGCTTCAAGCTGCGATCAACGGGACTTGCTCCCAAATAGTAAGAGGCACAGGATTGCACCGGCAAGCACTTTTGCCAAGTCCCGAGGATCCAGCCACTGCTCTAGGACTGATGGCCGACCGAAGCCGTTTGGAGAGCATCTTGCACGCACATGCACACCCTCGAAAAGATGCTCACTCTCAAGCATGCACACGACCCTCCACGCCTCAAGCCAGCCCACCTCCGTCTGAACCCGTTCCCTAGCACTCCGCGTCTCCAAGCGCCGCTGCTCTCTGCTGCAGAACCCAATCCGTCCAGAAACCCGTATTTCAAAACCGGATAGGCCCCATAAAGCAGCCCAACAGAGAGAGAAGGCGAGGGAGTCTCGAGGGCAGGGGAGTTCCGGAGAGGATGCCTCCCCCTTTCCCTTCACCGAGCAGGGAAGAAGAGGGTGGGAGGGAGGCGGCGTGCATTGCACCAGCTCCTCTCCCCGCCTGCCTCCCTTAGCAAACTCGCTTCCACATGCAAAGACACCAAAAAATAAAATTGGGGGTGGGAAGGTATCCATTCTCCTACTCCAGCAGAAGACAACCTGTGGACTCCGATCAAGAAAAGAAAAGAAGGAAGCGGCAAGGGGGGGGGGGACTGACCAGGCAAAGTTGCCAGCCCTGGAGCCCCTCCCCATCCCTTTCTATGGAGGGGGGGGGAGACAGAGGTTGATCCCACTCACCTCGCAGCGCCCCAGTCCCGGCGAGCAGATCCGGCAGGAGCAAGAGCATCAGCGCCAGCCCGAAGAAGGGCGGGGTCTCCATGCTGCAGGATCCTCAGGGCCACGAAACTCTGCGCGGCTACTCCAGCCGAGGCAGCGCGGGGCTGCTGCCTGCCCCTCGGCTCGCTCGCTCTCTGGCTTTCCCACGCGCCCGCAGTAGCAGCAGCAGCAGCGCCTCCCCGCCTGCCGCCCGGCTCCAGACTAAAGGCGAGCAGCCGCGCGCCTGCATCCCAATCAGACCCCCTCCTCCCCGGCAGCCAATTAGGCGAGGGCGGGGCGGGGCCGGCGGCCGAAAGGGGCGGGGCAAGACGCCCGGGGTTCCGTCGGCGAGCCGCGGGGCGGGGCTGCTGCCGAGAGCCAAGGGTGCGCGCTCGGCCCGGGCAGCTCCTGCTCCGGATGGTGCCGATCAGAGGTGCGGGTGGTGATGAGCCCGGCGCGGAGCTGAGGAACCGCGGCTGCCTTGGCTCGCAGGTCCCGGCCGAGCTTTGCTTGGGAACTAACCGTGCGATGCTGAGCGTTAGTCCCATAGAAGCCCGTGGGATTTACTCCCAGGCAGGCGGGGTTGGGATGAAGGCAGCACTCCTAGCAGCGTTGACCTAGGACCAGTGCCGGATTTACCTATAAGCTAAACAAGCTATAGTTTAGGGCCCCACTCTCTTGACCCCACCCCCCAAAATCACTATTAATATACTTATTAATTGTATTTCAGTTCAACAATTACTTTGATAAAATACATATTTTGTTATGTGCACATGGCTTTAGAATAGATACCTAAAGGTAAAGGTAAAGGTACCCCTGCCCGTACAGGCCAGTCTTGACAGACTCTAGGGTTGTGCGCTCATCTCACTCTATAGGCCGGGAGCCAGCGCTGTCCGCAGACACTTCCGGGTCACGTGGCCAGCGTGACAAAGCTGCTCTGGCAAGCCAGCGCAGCACACGGAACGCCGTTTACCTTCCCGCTGGTAAGCGGTCCCTATTTATCTACTTGCACCCGGGGGTGCTTTCAAACTGCTAGGTTGGCAGGCGCTGGGACCGAACGACGGGAGCGCACCCCGCCGCAGGGATTCGAACTGCCGACCATGCGATCGGCAAGTCCTAGGCGCTGAGGTTTTACCCACAGCACCACCCGCGTCCTAATAGATACCTATTAGGTCCATAAATTACCATATAGCATATATTCAACAAAAAAAAACAGCAACAATTTGTTGTTGACAAAGGACAGCTGGACATATAAAGGGTCCCATTACCATCAGTAGCTTAGGGCATGGGTAGGCAAACTAAGGCCCCAGGGGCCAGATCTAGCCCAATCACTTTCTAAATCCAGCCCACGGACAGTCTGGGAATCAGCATGTTTTTACATGAGTAGAATTAGTGCTTTTATTTAAAATGCATCTCCGGGTTATTTGTGGGGCATAGGAATTCATTCTTTTCCCCAAAAAAATATAGTCCGCCCCTCCTCAAGGTGTGAGGGACAGTAGACCGGCCCCCTGCTGAAAAAGTTTGCTGACCTCTGGTTTAGGGCCTCATCAATCCAGCCCTGCCTAGGACCATATACCCCATCAACTCCATAGGATTTACTGTACTTCTGAGTAGTCAGGATTAGGCATGCGCCATAAGGGCAACTTCACTGACTTTGGAGTAAATATGCACAGGGTTCTTCTATAAGTCCCCTTGGAATTTACATCTGAGTAAAAAAAGGGGGGGCTTCTGGCTTCTAGGCTGCCTTCTTAGGCCACCTCCCTGAAAGGAAGCACCATTGAACCCAATGGGAATCGATTATTCTCTTTGCAATGTGCTGTTTGAGGACTGACTGAACACATGGTTTTCAATTTGGGACCCCTCCAGACTCCCGCCCACCCTTGTATTCTCCAGCATGTCATTGATACAAAAACAGTGTGTTAGTCATGGGTTTCTTGTTTATTTCATTAAAAAACATATACAGCTTGTTTGGAAAAAGAAACCACACACACCTCAAAGTGGTTTACAAAAGAACAAAACAATAAAATTCTTGATAAGAACTATCAAAACAATTAAAAACATTCAAGAAATTAAAACCAGCACTAAATTTAAAGCATCTGCATCCTAGATATCTGCATAGGCTTATCTAAACAGAAATGTTTTTAGCACCTGCCCAAAAGAGAGGTGCCTGCCTAGTATCAATAGGCAGGGAGTTCCAATGTGTGGGTGCTGCTGCACTAAAAAAATCGATTTCTTACAAATGTGGAATATGGAACCTGCAACACTCAGTTCCTCAGTTCTACACCTCATGAGTTGTTTTTTAGTTCTGGAATGCTTTCCCAATGTTGCCACATTATTGCTTTCTGGAATGCAACCAAAGTGGTACAAAAAACCATATTGGAACATTTGTGGTAGAAAAAGTTGCAGCATTCCAGTGGAAAGAGATGGGACATAACACCACTGGAAAAGCAGTATGTGCAGCCTGGAATTTTTGCATGCACAAAGAGTATTGAAAGTAGATTTGCTCATTACTGCCCTGATACCATCATGAACAAAAATCATGAATGCACAATAAAAACGAAATATTGTGCGGGGTTTTTTGGGGGGGGTAAGGGGGCTTATTTATTCCCCTTCTTCCCCCACATTTTTCTCTCTTTCCCTTATTCATTTCTTTCCTCTTCTGCTGTTTATCTTTCTTGCCTCTGTTTTCCAGTTGAATTTACCTTTGATGCTTCCCCCACCCTTTGTTAGTGATTCCTTTTTCCTCTCTTTCATCCCTCCCTTTCATTTATTTTCTTTCCTATTCACATCCTTACTTATATGATGGACTGACTGGCCCAGAGTTGCCCAGTGCATTTATTAGCTGTGTGGAGTTTTAACCCTGTTCCCCTCAGTTCTAGTCCAATAGTCTAACCGCGACCTCACTCTTTCAATTCAGACTACAGTCATATTATGTTTTTCACCTTGTCCTTTGAACATAAAACTTTTGAAGCTGCCTTATACCACACATCTGACTCAGTACTTTCTACTCTGGCTTAGGCTGTGTGCACACCTTGCGTTTAAAACTCATCCAACATTTAGTTTAGGGGGAAGACGAGCAATAGAAATTTACCGTATGTATGGCATGGAGACAGTGGATAGAAAAAAGCTTTCTCTCATATACAAAAAAGCTGAATGCTGGAAGATTCAGGACACATTTTTAAAAAGTGCCTTTTCATGCAGTACATAGTTAAACTATGGAACTCACTCCCACAATAAGAAGTGATGGCCACCAACTTAAAGGTAAAGGGACCCCTGACCATTAGGTCCAGTCGTGGCCGACTCTGGGGTTGCGGCGCTCATCTCGCTTTACTGGCCGAGGGAGCCAGCGTACAGCTTCCGGGTCATGTGGCCAGCATGACTAAGCCGCTTCTAGCGAACCAGAGCAGCACATGGAAATGCCATTTACCTTCCTGCCGGAGTGGTACCTACTTATCTACTTGCACTTTGACGTGATTTCGAACTGCTAGGTGGGCAGGAGCAGGGACCGAGCAACAGGAGCTCACCCCATTGCGGGGATTCGAACCGCCAACCTTCTGATCGGCAAGCCCTAGGCTCTGTGGTTTAACCCACAGCGCCACCCGCGTCCCGGCCACCAACTTAGATGGCTTTAAAAGAGGATTGGACAAATTCTGATCTTCAGGCAGTTTTCCCCTCAAAGAATTCTGAGCACTGTAGTTTGGGTGACTGGGAATTGTAACTCTGTGGGGGGAAACTACAATGTCCAGAATTCATTGTTAAAAATCATGTGTTTCAAACATGCTTTAAATGGGTGTGCAGAGCCAAGTTCTCAGGTAGAGGCTTTTCCCAGCAATGCTCCTAATGCCATTTGAATGATGTTTGCAGCCCAAGCATGAGTATAACTTGCAAATATATATCCAATGTCATTCCCCCCCCGCCCAACATTTTTCTATTGTTGAGGGAGGGAGCCCCACCTATTTGTTTTCTGGCACAGAATCACTTCATTTGTTACATTAATGACCCATACTTAGCGGTCATTCATTACCAAGAAACTTGTCTGGCTCCTCCAGCAATTACGAGGGACTCAGACATACAGCCTATACCCCCCAGACTCACAGCAATATATTTTAAGTAAGATTAAATATAAATTAAATAAAAGTTAGTTTTTATACCACTTTTATGTATGTTTATTAGTTACTTCTGAGTATGTTACATGGAAAAGCAGCAAGCGAAAGTATTGAATTTAATCAATCAGTTAATTTTCTTCTGTCATTGTTGTTTTATTTATAATGGCCTTTCTATGTATATTATGTTCAAAGTGATATGCATCAGTAAAATTACAGAAATAATAGCAATAAAACAAATAGACCCATAGCAATATATCCAGTTCATAAAAGTGATCTAAAATGACTTTTAGTTGTATCCAACTAAGCTCTATCAGACACACTGAAATTAATGAACCTATATTAGACATATCCATTAACTTCATTGGGTCTACTCTGAGTAGAAGTAACATTGTGTCTGTGGCCAATTCCCACACTTCTGAATGTACACAAGAATCATCTCTCTGTGCTTTTTTTTATTTTCTTCCTAGAGAGGTAAAAGTAAGTTGGTCAGGTCAATTATATGCCACAGCCCTAAGCTAACTCAGAAGTAAATTCCATTGGATTTACTTCTACATAAATATGCTTAGGATTGGGAGTGAGGATTCAATCAAAAGGCTGAAGACAGCAGCTTCCCATAATATTGGCTGAGTGTAATTTAGTTACTAAAGCACCAAAGGAGAGAAAAAAATCTTAAGGTTATGCGGGATTTTGTGCAATGATCTCTTCAAAGTCCCTCGTTCAGGTTGTGCCAATTGTACTGAACCACTAACTCCTTGATCTTCAGTCTGAACTCGCAGGGATTAGCACAGCCTTATGTGTGGGTCTGCTGAATTAGTTCCCATGTAAGCACACGATGTGTAGTACGTTATGTTATGATTTATTTATATACCACTGTTTGGCCCAAAGGTCCCCCAAAGCAGTGGACAGAATATTAATACAAAACAAAAATGCGAAACAAGTACAATGAATAAATCAAAACAATAGAAAATTGGGGGGGGGGGAATCACATTGGATATATATTTGGGAGCTACACTCATGCTTGAGCCACAAACACCGATTCTAGGCATCCCTCCTTTCACTTGGAATCCAGGTTAGTATGCCAAATCAGTGTTGCTAACACC